CATATTTTTACTAAGGAATTTATATATACGTTTTTTCTAAATATACATATATGATAAATAAAATACCTACCTATTTTATTCGTATCACACTGTTATTATGTTCTATATATATTTTAAGTTATTGACATATCATATGTACATACTGTACCTCAGTGGCAAATAAATAAATAAATAAGTCACATACATTCCACAGATGAGACAGAAGTGAGTTTCATGATCATTGCTTGTTTTCAAAACACGAAGATGTGTGATGGGTATTGAGGTTCTAATCTTAGAGATGCAGGGTCTACCATAATGTGATAAATTAAAGAATTAACTAAACTTTATTTCTAACAATATTTCACTAATCACAAACTAATTTATTTAATACAACACTTAACAACTAACGCTTAATTTATTTCCACTATTTGAATTTCTTGTTTAGCCACTCGATTCACTTTTAGAACTGCCCTTTTGGGTCGGGAAGACGGCGATTCCCGACTACATTATTTTGCGGTGATATCATGTATTTGTTTCATGATTCGGCCGGCGTACTGATCAGGGGCGGCTTCAGATTCGTTACAATAAGGTTCCTCATACAATTATGCATTTGTGGTCTCACGACATTATCAGCAAAACACTGTATTGTGAATGCAGAATCATCTCTAGGACTCCTTTGGTATTAAGGTTGTTTCAATGATGTTTTTTACATGTTAAAAAAACGTCTTTATACTTTTATACTGTATCTACTTTATAAAAGTAGATACAGTGTTTTTTTAGTAGATACAGTGTTTTTCCGATCATGAGTCCCGCGTACCACCATTAGATACTACGCTAGATAAAGTGTTCAAGGCAATAAAATTATGGAGTTGTTACTATTCAAGTTCAGTGTGGAGACACTCATAAAGGATCAAGTTTTTTTACCTTAATTCTATGTAAGAGGTGTTGATAGAAATGTTTACATGTAAATTCGAATCACTTTAAATCGTACGGATATTGCAATCGAGAAACTATAGCAGGTTGTTAAATCAAACTTTAACTATGTGCCAAAATTATTTTCTGAGTGTACCTATTGGCCGTGGTTACATAGGTGTATATAATAATGTCTGCTAAAGTCGTAAACGAAACGTCAAGCATAAACATCTACAGACTACGGCCAATAAACTCGGAAAATAGCTTTGTGTAGTTGTTCAGCCACTAAATTTTCTGAAGTCAGTTGTCATCCAGTTGACTACTTCGAATCCCGCAACCTTCTGGACTTTGCATACTTCTATTATCGTTTCTAGCGCTTCTTCTTCAGTGTCTTTTGAATCCAAGCAATCATCTAGGTACATAGAATTTCTTGATAATAGCTGTTCGGATGTGTGGATTCGTAGAAAATTCCTCAGCTTTCGAGTTTTTTACGAATTGAGCACATACGGCAAACAGGTTGCTCCAAAAGTCATGACCAACATTTCATAAACATCAAGAGGTCTGTCGCTTTTTCTTCAGCGAAATGAAGAAGATATCTAAGATGAGGGTTGTCAATTTGCTCTTCCTCTGAGCTTAACTTCTTTATATATCCTTTTTCTTCATATTCCATAATATTCTTTCAATATTCCTTCCCAAATTTTTCGTTCAGGCGACATTTTCTTTCGACACATTTTAGTCTTTGGAGTGCCATGAATTTACTTTCAGGTAGCTGTATGTTATCGGTTTTCCACAATAAACCGATTTCGTAGTATTTTTCCGGTACACTTTGTGTTTCTCATTAGTTCTAATGCTCGTGAACTTTCACGAGATGGTTGGTCGACTGCGATCAGAAAACCGAATGTTTCAGTCAGATAAGATTTTTCTACCATCTTCTGCAGCTCTTTATCAGAGTTTTCCCTGATATTTGGTCTTAGTCCGTGTACAGTCCAACCTTACTTACATTTACTGGCTACAGGAAGATATTCTGAGCCGGTTCTTATCTGTCTCACAAGTATCAGCATTAAGCACTGAAGGTTTTTCATGATCGATATCTTTTATTGGAACACCTTTTGGATGTGAAAACTTTTTCCAATCGGATATGTTAATGTCTTGTTCGGGTAACGACATATGAGTGACAGTTCGGACTCTTTTCATAGTAAACATTCTGCTGTCATCATCAATTTTGGAAACAGTCACATCTAAACGAACGGAATTTTTTTCAACCATGACATTTTCGTTTGTCCATTGTAGACGAAGTGATTACTTCGTTCCCGTTAGCCCAAGTGTTTCTGCTACTTCTGCGTCTAACAGTGTCACCGTAGACGCCTCATCACAAAGATCGAGAATAGGGACAACACCTCGTGGACCGTATACTTTTATACAAATCACTATCAGAAGAATCGTAGTAAAAGGTTTGTTGACAGAGCATACTCTTCCTCGATTATCATCATTAGTATCTCTTCCTATCGCTGCCTGATTGCTATCGACTTGTAATTCTTTGTGTAGTAAAGGATGATGATGAAGTTCATAGCCGGTTGTTCCACAAACCTTCCTCTTTGAATGTTTGATGATTCTTTTGAAGGCGACTGAAACATATTTTTTTCCGGTTATCGTTTCCCATCTCTTATTCAGGTCATCATAATTCATCTGTGGACAAATGCTTTCTTAATGTATTTTATCTCAATACAACAGCTGAATGTGAGTATTGCATACTCTTTCATTTATCTTCATTTGATTTCTAAATTTCTGTGAGAATGTTTTATTGCGTGGGGTACTAACATTACACGCAAAGCTTGCTTTCTCGTTCAATCACAAAGAGAAATGTTCTAAAGTGATATCACCCTTTTTCATTTCCACCTTTTCATCCCAGGATCTTTTTATTGAATTCGAAATTTTCGCCAGTAATTCTCGGATAAATTAAGGATTTTAGAGATAACGTTTACTTCCTAGACTCTTCATGATCGCAACCACGTTGCTCACCTCTGCAGAATAATGAATCAGCTTTTCAAATGTACCTATTTTCTCTTATGGCACAAAGGAAACTGATTCTGTTCATCAAAGTATCTATGATGTATTCAGGTCTTCCGAACCGTTTCTCTAAAGTTTCAATCACAAGGTCTACGTTATTTCTTTTTAGAAATATCTGGAGCTTCAGCATGATCTCTTCATTGATGTAGTCACAAAATTTGCGAATATTCTTGAAAGACTTATGGAACAGGGGCCAAACTTGGGGACTGCCATCAAACTGTGAAAATTATTTTTAATGTTTTTCGCATGTGAAATTTATACGGATTCATTACTGCATTAGACGTTGGGTTTCGAGTTGTTGAAGCTTGGAGAGAAAACTTTCTGCAAACGTCTGTAACAGTTCCACAAAGCTGTTGTATATCTTGTGATGTGATATTTCCTGGTTTCTCTTCGAGAAATTCGTCTTCGACCTTGGGTATGTTATCAGTGGGTTTCTCAGTTATTTCAGGAATACGTGACAGATATTCTTTTCTAGCATAATGAAATTGTTCAGATGTGTAATCTACCCATTGAGATACTGTGTTTCTTTGTTCTTGTTCTTCAATTGATTCTCTTCTGATATTTTCACTCCTTGCTTCTGATTGAACGTAATCGCTGCCTTCTTCTTGGGCATCTGTCTCAGCTTAATGCAATTCTTCTTCGAGTTGAACTCTCGAACTCTCTACGGTTCTTTTCTTCCAGTTGTTGTTCTTCCAGTTCTAGGTCTCTGGATTTTCTTTGTAGCTCCCTTCTTTGTCTTTCTATTTTTAGAGCTATTCTTTTCTTTTTCAAATCTAAACTAGTTCGTCGAGATAATCCGGTATCCCTTGAGGCTCTCTAGTGAACAGACTGCTTCCTGCTTTGAATGAATCTCATATATCAAGTAAGTTGACTTCAACGACTTTTTCAGGTAGTTTGTCTAGATTGGATTCTGGTTTCTCACGACTTCCAAATCATTTTGGCCATACGTAGTCCGATGACAGACTATGATTCAGACCTACAGTTTCTCACTTGGACGTACGTTTCTCCATATCATGATCACGTCGAGGTCACCAAATATTGTTTCCTTGATAATTATTAAATTCGAAAATGCCCAATAAATCCTACTTTTAGTAGGGATAAACTTTTATTGACTTTTTCGTTGACAAATTATCAGTAACTATCCAAAACATTTTGTTTTGTAATTTACAGGGTCACATAATTAACAAAATAAAGGCAAACTGATAAAAATGTTAACAAATCAATATAACAATTATCCTAAATTTTTTTGTAAAAGGAACAACCGTGTTGTTGCACAACATGTGTATAGAACGGGTGTAACTATTTTGCAGGTCTGCAGGGGAGCAAATTGTTCTCATTAAACATTGCTCACGTAATATTTTAGACTGGCCAAAATTCTTGCAGGTTGGATCTTCCAGATATGAATTTTGACTAGATTATATTAAAATATTTTTTGCAGGCCGGCAGAAATTCTTGCTGGTCGAGTCTCCCAGATATGAATCTAGACCAGATTATCCATTTTCAACAGAAACATTTCCCAACCCCCACCCAAAAAGTTCACAAATTTCAAGAAATTTTAAATATAATTTGCAGGTAGGCAGAAATTTTGCAGGTCGGGTCTCCCAGACTTGAATCTCGACCAAGTTAATCATTTTTGACAAAAAATTCCAACCCCCACCTTTTGAGTGAGGAACAGGAATTTGTACCCAATCGTGGATGGGTTTGTCCCAGGCTGCATTTTCATTTTTGGTAAATGAGAAACTGATTTCCGGAAGATGGCCGAAAAGAGATTTCCAGTCGTCCTATATGAAGTTGGGGCTCCAGAATGAAGAATCAGCTATGAAGAAATATAAGATGGTCTGTCCCAATTATGTCCCAAAAATGAATATGCAGAAGGAACTCAGAATGATAGGTTATTTATTCATTAGCAAACGTCAATGTCAAATGTCATTTTTACACCGCATTTGGCAACCATGGGGTCGCATCTTAATAAGGTCAATTCGGGCAGTGAAAGGCAAAAGGCAAAGTACTTTTCTGTGCTCCATGTTCTGTGTTCTGTGGTATTGTTTTGATTTGACAGAATCGGGCAAGTCGGCATGCACGGCGTGCAAGGCGCACAGCTGTATTTCATTAATTATCTCAACTTCAAAACGTGTAATTCTTGGTATTTTTGTTGTTTAGGACTTTAATCTCAAAAGGTAATATATTGTTTTTTCATTTAATGCTTGATTTTCTCAAAAAATATTGGTAGTAGCAGAATGGTCCAGTGAAGACAAAAACAAAATATGATTCTCAATACTTTCCAGTCCATAATCTCAGTATTTTATGGTATAAATCCTATGGCCTGATTGAATGTTAATGACTAAGTTGATTCAGACTGGTATTAATGACTTACATTTGAACTCCTATAGCAATTTGTGTAAGAAACCTTCAACTATTTTCTTGATTCTTCAGCTATCCTTTAAAAATTTTTTCATTAAAATACGTTCTCACTCTACTCTCACTCAGTACATTTTTTGTCACAATCTAAACAATTGTTTCTCTAGATTACTGACACTTAGTTATTTTCATATTACCATTTCCTAATAATACCTGTATCTTCATTCAAAGAGAACAACAAACCTGTGAACAAGGAAGTGTATAACATTTGTTTTATTGTGCATACCAGTGGGAGATGTCATGAATATAACTAATCATATATCCATTTTTTTATACACATCAAATCCTTAACCCTTTAGGGCCATATCTTATCACTAATACATCTAGGAATGGTAAATGTTTTAAATTTTGCATGTTAACTGATTAATAAGAGAAACACACATTCCTTTACCTTACTCCGTATTTCCTATATGTATAATGTAATATATGTGAAACATATAATTTAATTTTCATTCCTCGGAATTGCCAATCCTTACTCTGAAAAAAATAGTGTAATGGCTAATTATATCCAGCGAAAGTGTGAAAATTTATTTTGTTAGAAGTAAAGATAGTGTTTATGAACATGACCAATAGTTGCGATTTTTTAGATAATGAATCAAAACCCTATTTTTGAATATTCAGTTGGTTTGGAACATTGGATTAGATTGTAGAATAGTGGAATGAATTATGAAATAATTTGTAGCTACTTTGTCTGCTGAAGAGATGGTAAATGGCTAACATTGTGTGGAAAGGTAGAGCAGAAACATTTTATTTTAAACAAATATTGACTGACTAAAGTATCTTTGAAGAAGTCAGAAATGAGTTAGATACATTTTTCCAAACGAAATGTAACAAAATCCACATCTCAGTCAATAGTTGATAATAATTTATGAATCAATTTTTAACAAAACAAATTCTTGAGTTTTTGGTGGAAACAAATGTTTTTTAGTGCACTCAAAGTAAAATAATATGATGCATGAAAAATTATGAGTAAAATTCAAAATTATATATCAGATTTGCTTTCTTACAGTATTTAACAAAATGCCATCACTCATTCGACCACTGATGATATTTGGCCCATCAGGTTCAGGAAAGAGTACTTTGGTCAAAAAAATGTTGGAAGAATTTCCAGATAAGTTTGGATATTCTGTTAGTCATACCACCCGAAAACCCCGCCCAGGAGAAATTCATGGCATACACTATCATTTTACTGATGTAGAAACAATGAAACGGGCCATTGAAGATGGATTTTTTCTTGAGAGTGCAGTATTTTCTGGAAATATGTATGGCACTAGTAAGGCAGCAGTAGATGATATTGCTAAGAAAGGTAAGGAAAGTGATGAATACAATGTAGCAATCAGACATTTTGAGCTCACCTTTGAAAGTCTAGTGAACACTGCACAAGGTGGGTCATTTTGTTTCAAGATATGTGAGAAAAGCGTAGTAAATCAGAGAAATGATTTATTACCACTCATTATTTTTTGATAAGAGATATTTTGATACAATCTGCAACTATACCATTAGATGATTTTCAGTTATTGGTTCAGGGCAGTTATTTATTCAGGTTATGTGCAATTCATTTTTGTTGTTGTTTTATAATTAATTTATGATTTGTATTTTAGAATTATGTAAATTTTCAAACTTGTTTGCACTATTTATACTTCTAAGCAATCATTGTTATAACAAATCTGTGATTAAGGGTAACTTTCTGCCAACTTCCAACTTTTCATACTTTCGGGACTATGTTGACAATTTGAAAAACTAACAATATCTTAAAATTGATGATTTTTAATGACTCCGAATCGCATATTAGTTCAGAAATAGTAAAATTATTTGCAGACTATTTTAAAAGTGGCTACTGTGCCACATTATTTATGTGTAATAGAACTGAAATTTATACTACAGATAACCTCCCTACAGAAATATTTAATAGCATATGATAAATCAATAATGAACTAAGTTCTGGACCAGATGGTATCCTACACTATTTCCTGAAGCATTGTTCATATACTTTAAGTATGTTGCTTCATTTAACCTAATCTCTCTCTTTCAATGTCCAAACTTCCTTAAAAATGGTTCGATATTTATGTCATACTTATATATTTTGAAATGGCTTAGAGGAGTGGTGGAAAACTGATACAGTTTCTATATTGTCCTTCATGACTAAGCTGCTGGAGAAAATCCTAGATCATTTTGTTGACACTGAATAGTTTATTAATGATGGTCAACATGGTTTTACTAACTGTAGTTAGGTTATGTTAGGTCAAAAGTGAGTGGGTATATTCGACCCTCCACCGCAACCTGCAAACAAAACCAGCTTCTTAACAAAGCCGATTAGTTTGTATGGTGAGTGGTTTTTCAGGTCAGATGGTAAGAGTACGGCTCTGCCAAACTCTAAAGACCTGATTCGGTCCCCAGCGGGGCAGGCACAAAGTATATGCTCTGTTGATGAGGTAGTCGGATAGTCAAGTTGCAAGATTCCCACATTGATACCCACGACAAACTTCCCATATGAGGGTTTTTGCTCGTCAGCTACACCTGAAGATGCCTTAGATTCAGCCGTGCAGGGCTTTTTTGCCTCTGGTTTTGGTGAAACCTCACTTGAGCACAAACGTTTGCTTACCTGCTCATGGGGGGTTAGTTCCCCCACCTGAGACAGATTCTGCGTACGCCACAGCTCTCGCTCCTGAACTAAATTTACAGGGAGGTCAGTTGGAGTCGTAAACTCAACATCCATCTCCTCTGTAGACTCGCTCCTGAACTAAATTTACAGGGAGTTCAGTTGGAGTCGTAAACTCGACATCCATCTTCTCTGTAGACTCGCTCCTGAAATAAATTTACAGAGAGGTCCGTTGGAGTCGTAAATTCGACATCCATCTTCTCTGTAGACTCGCTCCTGGATAAATTTTTACAGGAAGATCAGCTGGAGTCGTAAACTCGACATCCATCTCCTCTGTAGACTGGCTTCTCATCTAAGTTTACAGGTAGATCAGTTGGAGTCATAAGCTTGACATCCATGTCCTCTGTAGATTCAGCATCAGAAAGAATTTTCAAGTTTACTCTGTCCATAAAAGTCCATAAAGTAGCTAGGGAAAGAAGGTCAATGACGACAGAGCCCCGCATTACGGCGAGAGGGCGCCCGGTGTCTCGAAGGTTCCGTGAAGACAGCTGATAGGCTCAGTGTCATTCATCCTCTCGGCACGGATACACACACCTTAGGATTAAACCATTGTTGGGATGCCATTCAGTTAGGGAATAACAGAACCACAAGTGATTCTGTCATTCCTGTATCCAGCGGGGCTATGTGGAAGCAGGCATCCGATGGCCGGTTTGCTCAGCCCCCACATCCCAAGCCAATGCACTCACCGAAAATAGCATGCAAAGTGGTTCAGGCAGTGAAAGATGAACAAGGACAGCATACCTGTAGTATTCTTAATTTTTTTAGGTTATCCTAATGTACAAACATTCATTGAAAATATAATACATAATCAAAGTACAAAGTAATAATAAATAAATGAAAAAAATATCTACAAACTTATTTTAAAAGTCAATATGAAAATATCAAAGATTTATAAAAGTGGAAAAAAAAATGAAATGAATAGACATCACAAGAATAAATAAATAAATGAATGAAATGAATAACTTTTTTGATATGCTGCAATAACACTTGTTTGAAAGTGTGAATACTTGTGTTGTTTCTCAATTGTCCTATATTTATTTTTTCCAATATTCAAATGACCAATTTACCACTGGGTGATTTTGAGATGACCACAGTCTATTTGAACTAATGTTGTTATTTAGGTGATAACTACTATTTATGAAATATTGGTTGAATATTGTAGCCACTTCTAGTGAATCAGTAATAATATAGGGCTCAGGAGATAAAAACATTATCTTATTAGAGTTTTGGGAAGTGTATTTCTATTCGAATCAATATTTTTCTCTAAATACAGAATTTTCCTCATTTTCAGTAAGTTAATGTATTGATTTCTAACATATAATTCCGCAGTCTTCAATTTGAATATTGAACCTTTCTTGAAGCTTTGTTAATATTCGAATAACCCTGAATAAAAAAATCAAACCGACTTATGTCTGGTGATGTGAAGGAATCTAAACAAAAGTTTTTCATCTAATATAGTACTATAAGTCTAGTATTTCCAAAAAGAAATTAGCTACTGGTAAAACGAAGATTCTGTCTACATGAAGGATCCAGTCCATGTATGAAATTATTCAAATATCAGTCATTTAGTCTGTTGGGTTTCATGAAAAATATACTGATGCTTTTCTAACCAATAGAAATGCATAAAACAAAATTATAATATTTTCTTTCACCCGGTAATAATGGATACAGAAGGTGAGAACCAGTGAGATTAAAACAAACATTCCCTTTGAATATACTGCTGTGCGATAGGATTTAGTGTGGAGTCAGGATTAAGAACCACAGGAAAATTTTTGAGTGCAAAGGGGCTAAAATTCACAGTAGGTGTTTGTTAGCTTAGGTCAATACCATCTTTCATGTAGTTATCATCTGACTTGAGATGATTTTTAATATAAAATTGAAAAAAAATAATAATGTTTTGAATTATTTGATACAAAGAGTTACTACCTTGTATACTTTATAGTTCATGGATTCAAAACTTGTGATAATGCTGCCCAATCACTTTCATAGATAAAAATTAATGAATTATTTGAAAATTCATTATAATATTGTGTAAGTTTTTCCCAAAAACAATAATTATCTGTTTTTGTTTACTTATAATATATTAAGAAATATTGAAGTTGGTAGAAGTTTTTTACCTAACTCAAAAACCTCATATTTTTTTAGAAATCCTGTTTTGAATTATGAGAATTTATTTGTTTCTTAAACTTTTCATACATATCTCCTTTTGGTATAGAGATACGCCGTTTTGCTTTAACATTTATTTACTAAATATTTTAGGAAAAGTATGCCTCCTAGAAATTGACGTACAAGGTGTGAAACAAGTGAAGAAATCTGACTTGAACCCATTCAGTATTTTCATAATACCTCCATCTTTAGATGAATTGAAACGACGACTATTAAAAAGGAACACAGAGAGTGAAGAGAGCTTGTTACAAAGGCTGGCCAAAGCTGAAGAGGAAATAAAATATGGCACTGTTCCAGGCAATTGTGATCTAGTCATTTGTAATGATGATTTCGAAACAGCATATAGTGAATTGAGACACTTTGTTGTTGAAAATGTTTTTAAAAATCAATTTAATACTAATGGTAGTAATCTGTAAATATGTGTTTATCTATATTTTATAAGTATTATGGTGATAATAGTCTGATGACATTTATAATACAATTGATAGGAAGAATCAAAAGTTTGAGAATTATCAGAGAAAATGTTTATAGATATTATTTCAGTGATAGATAGAATATAGTTTAAAAGGATATTATCCAGCGGTAGATACACTTGGTCTAGTTTTTGTCATTCAATAAAGTGATAACAACTCTTACCAAGTTGGAACTTGGAAACCATTTAACAAAAAGCCAACATTGAAGCTACAAATTATTTTACTCATGCGGCTACACAACGATAAGCCAATGCATAGGGTCTTCTTGAACAACATTGAAGACCTCAGCTAATCAAAATACCAGACCTTTGCTTTCCTCAGGTGAAGTATGCTAAAATCAGAAACTGAATCAACTTGTCACATAATGGGTTCATAGGTATCTGTCAAACATATGCATTTGCTGTGGGTATGTCTAGCATATGCAGTTCCAGCCTATGTTCATTGACATAATACAGCCCCCTTCCTATCTTTGTCACTCCTAAGGTACTGACTAGATACAGATGTTGCCTTATTCTGGTGGATATTGTATCCTTTGTGGATGTTATTCTCTCAGAAGAATTGATCAACTCGAACCAATAAATCCAATTTTAGTCAAGAGGAACTTTATTGACGTTTTCAACTATTTTTCAATCTTCAACTGACAAATCTTGTTTACAAAATGAGTGAACACAAAATAAACATACAGAATGATAAATAATTAGTAAATATTCACTTTCCCCCCCACTAGAGTATTCAGTTGTTCTCTAGATCCAATTTACATATCTTCGTTACTGGTCGCTTGAATTCCGAGGTTGGTGTTTTAACATCAACTACCCGGATTTTCCTGTCAGGTTCAGGATATATGACGGTTATTCTGCCGCCCCTAAATATAACTTCCAGTTATATCTAGGGGTTTGATCATCAACCAATATGAGGATATCATTTAATGCTACTGGTTTATTATCATTTGTCCATTTACTTCGTCTTGATAAGGTAGGTAGGTACTCTCTGGTCCAGCGATTCCAGAAAGAATCTGATAACATGCGAGATATTTTCCATTCTCTCCTCAGAATACCTGCACTTGGATTCAATGGTACCAAGTCACCATCACCACTGAAAGAACCAATCAAGAAGTGGTTCGGAGTAAGTGACTGCATCGGTAGGGTCAGACGATATTCTCGTCAAAGGTCGAGAGTTAACAATCTTTTCCGTTTCGGCAAAAAGTTTTGCAGTGTTTCCTCTCGAAGACTTTCATCATGAATAACTTTGCCAATAGTTCTTTTTACTGTTCCAACCAATCTCTCTCGAGACTATGGGCTATTTCAAGGTGGATGGCTCTCACGGCAAGACAGGTGAACAGAACTCCCCATCTTTTCTCTCTTTTTCTACCAATTTTAACGAGAATTGGTCCAAAGTAGTCCATTTCTATATCGCCAGATGGTCTGTTTTCTCTTTTCAATCATTCTTCTGGTATTTGTCCCATAATGGGCGGTAGTGGTTTACTCCTTTCAATTCTGCTTCTAAGACAAATGGAGAATGTTGTTCTAACTGCTGCTCGACCATGAATCATCCAATATTTATGTCGGAGTTCGTTCAGTACCAGTTCCATTCCTCTGTGAAGAAATTTCTCATGATAATGCTGGATGAGCAATTTTGTGAAATCGTGCTTTGGACTCAATATAGCTGGTTGATTAACATCTCTCCACTTTATGTAACTCTTCTTCCATCTGAAGCAAATGTGAACTATTTTCTAGTTCTTTCTGTTTCAATTCCAGATTTCTTCGTTGTTATTCTATTTCTATAGCTTTTCTCTTCATTTCCAAATCTATAGAACTTCTATGGGAACATTCAGTCTTTTTAGAAATTTTTGAGCATACTTCCGATTTTTGGTCGTGCCTCAAGGAAGTTGGCTCTTTTACGACTGTTTTCTCGAACGGGCCATTTGAAGTTTCTGGAATTTGGGAACGATTTGCTTTGCCACATTGGTTGGGCTAAACATAATCCATTGATAGGCTTCGATTCAAACTGGCACCAAGTCTTTGGGATTTACGCTGCTCTATATCGTGATCACGTCGGGGTCACCAATGTTATTCTTTTAGAAGAATTGATCAACTCAAGCCAATAAATCCAATTTTAGTCAAGAAGGAACTTTATTGACGTTTTCTACTATTTTTCAATCTTCAACTGACAAATTTTGTTTATAAAACAAATGAACACAAAATAAACATACAGAATGATAAATAATGAGTAAATATCCACAGTGGAGAATAAGACATGCTGAGTTTATTGGAATGATTCATCCCCCTCCCATGGGCTGATACAAGCTAATAAACCTCTAAGACAGTCTCGATCATCTGCTGATCCTGCTAAGTTGGTTGGCAAAACGCGATTCCCAAAAGTATTTTCTTCTGGTGTGAGAAAAATATTTTTAATAAATTAATTTTACACCAGAGGTTCCAAATTGTACTTATTACTCTGAGATCTGTTTTATTGATGTCCTCTACTCAGAGACATCTCTGTCAAGCTGTCTGTTATCAGAATAAATAATTGATTATATTGTTTTTCCCAATTTGGCCAGGTCAATTTTTTCAGATAGGCTATGAATTTATTATAACGATTGTTGATTAATTAATGTTTCATTTCCAAATTTATTTCAATTGAAAGTGAATATTACTGGAGTTTCTTTCCCAACAGCAAATCGTTATTTTTTACACCTCGACACGTGTTCCGATCACCAAGTGATCATCTTCAAGAGGAACATTAAACTGTTTAATCTTCAAGAGGAAGATCATACTGTTCAATCTTCCTCTTGAAGATGATCTCTTGGTGATCTAAACACGTGTCGAGATGTTGAAAATAACGATTTGGTGTTGGGAAAGAAACTTCAGTAATATTCATTACTACACCAAAGGTTCCAAACAGTGCATCATAAGTCAATTGAAAGTGTTGAAATATGTTTGTTTTTCGATGTTCGATAAAGCATATGATCGATGATCATATGCTTTATTATTTATAATTTTTTTTCAATGTCATTTTTATTACTATTATTGAATAAAAAAAAAAACTAGATTTTACCGTTTTTCTACACAGTTTTCTATCATTTTGTTGTCAAGTACGTCTCCAGTTTTACCCCCAGACGGGGTGGGTAACCCTGTCCCCCCCTTCCTCTGATTATTAAAAAAAAAACACTTCTTAATTACCAAGCAGAATTTTTGACAGCGGTTAGCTGAAATAGTATATATGGAGGAGTTGGCCTATACTTGATGAAACTGAAGGCTTATGAACTGTTGAACACAATATTTATCACTTTTTCAAACCTTGATTATCTCCTAGAAAGTTGCACTGAAAAAAAAATGAAATCATGTAATTTTTTTCCTGAAATAGTTGATATACAGAGTTCCTATGAAAATATGTCCGGAGTTGCTTTGTTTCTGAGATATAGGGCGTTGAAGTTTTAAAAAACCGGTATTTATAAAATATGAATATACTTACTGGTTCAATCAACTAAAAATACAACTTTTTTGTCGCTTGTATTTTCTTCCTATCTAGCTTCATTTTCGAGAAAGAAAAATTGAAGCTACTTTGCATATCTTGAACACCTGCTTTGGAGACCAGCTGACAATGATAGTGTTGTCATATCAGTGAAAGTCAGTTGTCAATTAGTGATTCCATCTTGAATAATTTTACTTACACTGAAATGGCTGACATGCACTTTATTTATGAATTAGCAAATTGAAATTCGGAAGAAGCACAGATAATTTACCAGGACAGGTATGTTGACAGAGTTAAATCCTTGTGCTAAAACATTTAGAACGCTACATGAAAGATTATGTGAAACATAAAAATGCAGGTGGTGGACACCAGAATTTCAAGGCTTGGAGAGAAAAAAAACCGATCAAAGTGTGAACAGCGCTTTTATAAATGACTCTTAGTTACTGGACAAATGGACGATGTCATTGAGAATACATAATGAGAAGAGTTTGAAACTTGATCTTCTAGAATGTTTAGAAATCAATAGATTCAGGAATTCGGGTAATTTACTGAATGATCAATTAGAACTCAATAACTCTCCGTTACTGAATATATTTTTTCAAATGTGAAAATGGTACATAAGTGCAGGTAATTTAATTCGTTAGAAACTCAGGTAAAATATCAGCTACTTAAAATCCAGGTACTTCGTTTACAGGTACTTTGATTTCAGGTACTCCATAAACTATATATATATTTAGTATGGAATGTGTAGAATTAGTTGAAAGACACGCCAGATGAAGCCATTGTATGGCGAAACACGTGTTGCGTTTTTGTAAAACAATTTAGTGAAAATCTCACAATAAAGTGTTTTTGGAATACGTTGATGAAGTAATGTTTGGTTTATGACCCAGCAATATGTATGAGGAGTTTTCCTGCAGAAATCACGTTATTTATTCATCAAGTTATTCTCTTTACTGTAAAAATTTGTTGGCCACAGCTAAAATTTTAATTGACGGCTTTCTATCAAAATCACAGTAATCTTTCCTAAAAATACACCTTTTCAATTTATACAGTAATAACATTACGTTAAAATATGAAACTATAGAAAAAATAAAAGTTAATATAGGTACGTAATATTTTTACAAAATACAATTAAAGGAGGAGCAATGTGGGACTTCATAATGTTCATTTTCTGATCTGTAATTATCAAGCTACTATAGCATGTTTCATTTTCATTGCCATGATGTACCTCCAAGTTTTTCCAACCATCAAATACATACCTATTGATGAACCATTCCATTCTTACTTTTTTCATAAATTCCACTAGTTGTGATATGCGATTTTTGAATTCTTTGATGAATATTTCTTATTGGGAGAATTACTTTTCATTGACGATTTTATGAGGTTATCAGACAGAGCGTTCTCTAAATATCATCATAACAGTTTATTATTAGCTGACAAATTCGAATTCTCCAAATGCAGTTTCTCATTGATATTATTCAAAGACTATATTTATGAAGGAAATCGAAAGATGTTGATTTTGAAATGACTGAATTGGATCCGTTATTTTGAATTGAATACGACCCTGGAAACACTTGATTACAAATTTTTGCATTCCGTTCAAATGCAAAAATTTATTTCAATTATATTGTTTACGTTATATTGTATATTATAAAGCTTTTTCATCAATATACTTTATTGACGGATAAATATGCAAATCGATAGATCATCACATGACAATAACGATATTCAGCAATAATGTTACTTAAATTTAGTAATTCACAGTAATGACATGAACAAATACCTATAGTTCAAGTAAACGATATAGCGCAACCTACCTTCCAAGAGCTCCCCTTTAATAATATAGTTTTGCTTTGCTTCAATTTTCCCCAAGTCAACTCGATGGGATTGAAAACACAAAATTAGGGGGAGGAGTTCAGTATGGTGTGTCCATAATTTTCAGCAATACTCTCAAAGGCATACACTTTTTCAAATGTTTTTGTCTGTAAAACCTCAAGTAGTTGGTTTTTGGTATAGTAATCTTCAAAATATAAATTGTTATCCATTGAAAAACTTTGTACTTAATCTTTCCTCGAATTTTTATTTGGTACCTTGATGAGCTGTCGCGAATGATAGGAAGCATTGTCAAGATGAACTATTACACTATTCGCATCCAAATTTGGGATCAATGTGTTTTCAAACCATTCCTCGAAAATATTATCTTCCATGTTCTTATGATAGTCAGCGATCCTTTGTTTGCAGGCATGTTAGGCGTACAAATTTTCGAACTATCAGTCCGCCCTTTTATAACTGTGTCGAGACTGTTATACCAAGTTTCGTCCAAGTAGAAAATTTGTCGTTGTTCTTGTCTATATTTAGTTTTGTTCTAAGTATTTGTTACGTAATGCCACTATTCTTCTGCTTTCCATAATTGCTTGACGTTTGTTTTATTATTTTAAATCTAAATCCTAGTTTCTTTATCCAATTCTGAAGACTTTTGTCACAGCAGCTCACGTTATGGCCGGAAATATTCAATTTCTTCCTTATGATTTCAGTTGTAGGGCTTTTGTAACAGTCTTATATTTTTTTTGAATGATTTTATTAGATGAACATCTGAAGGTTTTGGTAATTCTGTATCACATCGCGACTTGCGTTCATAAAGTTTCTTTTTGACTGTTTTACGCACAGTTGAGAAAGTAATTTCGGTCAAATCTGATGTTTCTTGTAATAGTTTGTTTCCCTCGAAACCAAAATTGAGATGTAGATTCTTATATACATTGAAACATACTCTCCGTGTTTCCATATTCAAATGCATCCGAATCTTATTCACTGGTATCTCTTTTTCGTATTGTTTATCATAGCTATTGGAATTACTACATTGGAAAAAGTATGCGTTGCTATCACACTCGTTATTACTATTAGTACTCAAGGACGCCACATTTTAAATAGATAACAAAAAATTTTAAGTGATTATAACTTCATCAATATTGAATTTCAACTCTCAAATCGCGATCAGTTCTTGAACTGAACACGATGGCGGTAACCATCTCCGCATTTCTCGATTTCTATTCGTCACCGTAACATGACTTCAAATTTAATTTTATGACTTCAGCCAATCATAAAACTCGGTTAGTAAAAATTATCCAGTACGAAACGCCAATTCTACAGTTCACAGCTGGTTCATTTCTGTATATTGGTTTTTTGGCCTTTGAGAGAGCCGCCACCTTTAAATGTGCACAATATCGTTTACTTCGACTATAACTAATAATATCTTATATCTATATAGGATATTCCAAAACTAGGATGGTCTATTAGCCTTTAAACATATTTTCATTTCCGCATGCCAAATCTACGTAGGTATATAATTAATATCATTTCTGAATTATACTCGGAACACTTTTTGAGTTTCGAGTAGACGTGAACTGAAAATAGGAATAGAATTTTCGAACATACTGAATTTTCTAATTTACCAACTTCGTATTTCGTCACATGACATTATCGTTTATTAAAATTTGTCAAAAGTTAATAATGTTTTTCAAGACAACCATAAAAAGGGTCCATAAGGTTTCATGACAGAACGTTATTTTATTTCATCAGATTTGCGATACTTTACCTTACCTTTTTATTTTGGTAAAAAAATACAAATTGATTATTATCTGAGAAACGATAAGAGATAGGTAGGTATACAGGACTTGCTTCACAGTAGTAATTTAATTGTTAAGTATAATAGTAGAACCGACAACAATGCGGGTATGAAAATATTTTTGAAATTTTGGAAACATGCCCTTCTTTGTTCTCCATGAAAGTCTAATAGAGCATCAGAATAGACAGAACAATATGTGTATAAAAACATAAATAACATGCGCTAATATTTTGATTTTTGAGAGTAAGACAACCTTTATCTATTTAGATCAAGGAAAAATATTTACAAAAAATGACCCAAACCACCGTAGATTTATTGGTTGACAAATCTTGATAGGGATGTTAAAACATATTTTCCGTAGGCAACAACAGATTTTGAGCATATTATATTAAGATGTTTTTAAATACTAAGATTACAATATGAATTTGAACAGATATAAGAAAAGCAGTTTATTATTGATGTAAAATAATAATTTTTCATTAATTTTCTGAAATTTCAAAACTATATAAGTATCAAATTAAAATTGGTTTTGTAGGCACTTGAAAAATGAACTTGAATGGTCAAAAAATTAACAAAAAACACTTATAATGATAAATAAATTAAATTAGTAGGTACTTTTTATTCTCTCCCGAAAGACGATAAAAAACCTGGTATTCATAACTTTTACACGTCATTGGTCAATGTCGAACTCTGTTCCAGAAATGACTAGGTGGCCTGAACTAGTGGACGTAGAAAACAAAATGTATTTTTGCTATTTACAGGATAAATAGGTATAGTAGCATATAATTGAAATAATTTTGAGATGACCCCACTTTTCAAACATAATTTTTTTTCTTGCACAGCAATTCTTTTAAGAAAACTATGCACGAGAGAGTTAATCCTATAATTAATGTGATGAACGGAGTGAAGAACATTTTAACATTCATCGGAATGTATTCTCTTTGAGACGATTTTACACGCTGTTTTTTATTGTAATGTGTGTCATACTCTTCTTTGTGCCTGGAAAAAATATGTTTTTTAGTTTGTTAGTAACATCGGTAAGTCTAATTTAAGGAGATTACAGATAATGCTTATGTTTATTGCATTACTAGATAGAAAAGTCAACAAAATGTTAATATTGTGAAAAATTAAAGAATTAACTGTCTCAAGCAAATTTATTACCAAAAATATTTCACTAATCACAAACTAATTTATTTACAACAGTTAGCAACTAACGCCGAACTTATGTAACGGTTCTTTCTAGAAATCTGTAGTAAGTTCGGTACTCGACTAGAGTTTTACCGTCGGTTGCCGACTGCATTCTTTCGCGGTGATGTCATGTGTTTGTTACATGTTTCGGCCGGCGTACTGGTCAGGGGCGGCTTCAGATTCGTTACACTATCTTCATTTGGGTTTGAAGGCCCGAATGAAGAAATTAACACTGAAAATTTCGGCGGCGAAAGCAACCAATTTATCAGTCAACAAAATGTACAATCAGACAAAGGACCACGCACAAACCTTATGGAAAATGGCTTTCGGTGAATTCTGCTGATTTTTTGGTATGATGAACTTTTGAATGTCCTGATCAAGTCTCCACAGACAGAACGAAAAATAATGAACAGTTTTTGAAAAAAAAAATTCTCAAAGTCGGTAAAATGGGAAATTTGGTAGTAAAACAGGAGAAACAAGCCGTGTTATTTTGCAACTTCATGCCTCACGGAAATTGTAGCGTGTGCATGACCATATAGGGTGACGTATAAAGCGATTATCCGAGGAATGAAAAAACAATGTTTATAACATTATGAAAACAATAGATTGTTAGAGAGTTAGTCAGTGGATATGGATATGGTTATATAGAAGATAATTCAATTAATATATAGCGGGTGATACAGGAGACAATAATAAAAGTCAATTGGATTACAGAATATGTATGAAAAAAAGTGTCGCAATATTTATTGAAAAGTAACACTTTGTGGAATTTCAATATAACACATGATATAAATTGAAATGATAATTTATCAACAAAACAATATTAAAGAGTTTGTTGCACGATCTGAAGCGCATTCAGACAATGATATGAGGTTCCACCTCATTTCCATTTCGATTTCCTGCATCGATAATGTAGTCCAACAAGTTTGTTGACGGATACTTGACATTTGGTTGATGTCTGGCGTATCCAATGAACCAAAGAACACTAGATATATGAGTACATGTGCCCAGTGTTCTGGCACCTGACCTACAGGTACACTAATAACCTGTTATAGGGTTATCATTTTCATTTATGTACATTATCCACATTATATATTTTGTGTCATTGCGATGACGGGAAAGAACTCTGAAACAAAGTGATCCGGGATATCGAAATGAGGTAGCGAAATGAAGGCCATTTGATGCTTCCTTCTGATTTGAATTTTATGCATAGTCAGCCTAGAAAAATAAGGAAAATGATGATGGTCCAATGATATCCATCTTCCCCGTCTACTGAGATTTTCTTCCTCTACTACGTTCTGTACCCTATTTATCTGGCGAGATCTTTCCAGAATCAATTGGGCAAATTCTGCATCTGCTCCTCTCATTTCAATCACTGAGTGGTATTTGTTAATAATTGCTCCACCAATAAGAAGAAAGTCCCTCAAATGATAAAGGTGATGGGTTGATATTGTGGTCGAAAAAAACTTTAAACAGGATTTGGATTTTATATTTGTGAACTGATTAACATGGCGTTGAATGTATAGTCCTCGAGTGATTGATCCGAAACCAATATTTTCTGGGACGAATATTTGTGCAAGTGATCTTCTCACATTTGAAATTGCCAAACTTGTCCATTGACGTGAAGGATATTTGAAAATGACTTTCAAAAATTTGTCGGAGAGCCCTTGTTTGAGTTTGCACAATCTGTTTCCACCTTCTACTGGCACAGATTCGCAGTAGTTATAGATATTGCGGAACTGATCCTTATTCTTTGGAATTTTCAATATGAATTCTTTATCGGTGAAACTCTCTTCATCTTAGTAATCCCACTGTGGAATGTTCTATATATCCCTTAGTTTTTACAAGAAAGCCATCAAATTCCCTTTTTTCATTTTACATGATCGAAAATTGAACTACATCCCAGAAAGAATTTATGTCAGGAAAAAACCATTTCTCATCCAAGTGATGTTTGCATGACATGGTATTTTCTCTGATATAAATACTTTTCAAAACAAAAAAAATTGACTCGGCACTTCAGAGAACCGATTTAGATTGAGTCTAGCGTTACATACTACGCACGATTCGCTCGAAGTTTATTTCAAAATATTCAGCTTGAGAAACGTCCAGTCGTCTTCCAAAGGAGTTATCTCTCCCATTACTATCTACCCTATTAAAATTCAGGCATAGTTTTGTGAAATTGTCAATGAGAATATCTGGTAGTCCTGATTCTCGCCTTTGTTGAATAGCAATCTCCCGTTTTTCTTCATTATTCACCCCATCTAATTTTGCCATTCGTTGTATATGGAAAATATTGTTGCATATGAAATAATGTCATACCTATCATCAGATAGGTATGAAATATTAAATAAACAGGCAAAAGATGCAAACTTTAGAAAAATCTTTATTTACCATATATGCATTACATGAATACAGACATTACTAGTGATCTGTCATCATGGCAACCAATAGACAACTGGTAACTTGATAAAAATACATGATACCGGTTGAAATATTAGTCCAGTAGTGGATGAAGTGAATAAAACTATGTGACAATATAGGAATGCGATTATGGAATGGTTGGTTCAATTATATAATGAATAAAAATTAATGTACGATTATGTCAAATACATTATTCCGTTAAGAAATGATAAGATAATTGAAAAAATGAGAATAATGAAACATTGCTTATTCGTGACAGGTTCTACTTTTTATTTTCTCACACGCTATTTTGCTGACTTTGAGCCATTGTTCTCCAAGACTGTCCATTATTTTCCGTTGTGCCCATCGATACATTCGATCAGAACGTTGAAAAGTACGTCTCAGCAATGTTATTCTTCAATACTACTACACGTTTTTTCGTACATGATTATAGTGTTGTGACTTGTAACCTTATCAAGATACCCATTTTTAGACTTCCATAATTTTTCCATGTATTGGCCCTTAAACTGTGTGGCACAGTCTTATGGTATACCCCTTTTTTTCTCCATTATTTCTTCAGAAATATTTCTGCAACTTGGAACATTGAATATGCTCACTAAACGGCACTTTTTGACATATTTCTAGAACAAATTCAACTTCCTGTTTTTTCGGAAATAACAACAACTTTCGATTTACAGATGGGACATCTTGTATATTATTACAAGATCGGTTAGGGAGGATCATGAGGAATCCAACAATAGCAGATTTGATAGTGTTATTTCTAATGACTACGGAGATATCGCCATTTATTTTATACACAAACTCAATGAGTAGGACAGAGAAACTTTTTCTGGAGGATCCATCCAACTCTCTCCCACTCATTGAGTTTATGGATGAAATAAATGGCGATATCTCCGCGAGATTAGAGATAACACCATCAAACCTGATGTTGAATTTGTTTTACAAATATGTCAAAAAATGCCGTCTGGTGAGCATATTCAGTGTTCCCAGAAATATAGCCAGAAAAAAAAAGAGTAAAGGGGACTGCACCATGAATATGTGTCACACGGTATATCAATTGAATCTGTTTCAAAATCTGTTCAAAATCTGTTTTTCCGTCAACCAGCTGTCGCACCCCTACAAACGACAACCCGCAGAAGTCGAAACTTGTATGGTCTAAGGACTAACGAGGTCTTACCTTTTACCGTGTGATTCCTAACACGGGTTGGACGATAGCAAGTGAAAATCGATCGTTCAGCCTGGGGCATGAACCACCGACCAACACGGCAGTCGATTTGAGTGAGTGAAAATTATTTTTTCATTCCTCAGATTATGGCTTTATACGTCACCCTGTATGATTTGCAATTATTTTCTCAAACGGTGCTGTAAAGACACAAGACCCATAAAAGAATTGCTAAAGCGCATGCTACGATTTCCGAGAGGCATGAAGTTGCAAAATAACACGGCCTATTTCTCCCGTTTTACTACCAAATTCCCCATTTTGCCGATATCGAGCAGTTTTTTTCTGCCCATTGAACATTGAAAAGTCCATCATACCAAAAAATCAGCAGAATTCATCGAAAGTTATTTTCCATAAGGTTTGTGCGTGATAACCGCTATCAGAATTTCCGGTTAGCATTTGGTCACTTTTGGACCATACACCATGAGTTCAGCAATGCTTTCGTTGTTCAGTCTAGTACCACTTATGAGACCTATGGCGGGTCGAAACAGCGCTGTCTAGGGTTGGATCACGGAGGTTTTGTTGCCTTGCAGTGAAAGACAGCGGGCGAATCTCCTTCGGCTTACGAATCTGTTCGAAGCTTTGCTCTGATCTCATGAATGACGTTTTCGTAAGGAAAGATAACATTACCTTCACTCAGCTAAATTATGTTCTCAAGAATACCCAACAAACGAACAGTAGAAACTAGTGCAGATAACGTGATTGGGTGTCATAAAAAGATGAGAGGTGAAGCGCACTGAGCCCATGAGGCTGTAGAGAGTTTTCCGAAAGTACACGTTTTTCCAATCTTTTGAAGCTTCCCGTTCGGTAGCCAAGCGGTTCGACGTGGGTGCTTTGTTCGCTCACTCGAATTGACTGCCGTGTTGGTCGGTGGTTCAAGCCCTAGTCTGAACGATCGATTTCCACTTGCTATCGTCCAACCCGTGTTAGGAATCACACCTTAAAAGGTAAGACCTCGTTGATCCGTAGCTCGCACAAGTTTCGACTTCTGAGGGTTGTCGTTCATAAGGGTGCGACTGCTGGTTAACGGAAAAACAGATTTTAAACAGATTTTTTTTCCCGCATCGTTTTTAGTGGAACGGTCAATTCTAGTTTATTACTTGTCCAAAGGTGCTTTCAATTAAATCCGAAAGTGCTTCTGAGTGCAACCACTGTTGTTAATAGATAGGTAATGAAGTCAAAATTGAAGTTAAACTACAAGTGCTGAGATTATTAACACTCAGGAGGGTAAAAAAACTCATAACACAATAATTGAAGACATGTTATCTGTCTGCAATTCTTTGAGAATCGGTAAGATGTGGTTGATGATCAATAATTTTTTCCACCAATTATGTTATGTTATTACATGATCTAGGTCAATAAACGATCGAAAATCAATACAACATACTGAAATGTTAAAAAAAAACTCAGGCAAACCAACAGTTGGATAAATAAAATAAAGAGTGAATCGGCAAACACCTGGTAATAATAGAAATAGATTGCCAAGAAATATTTAGATCGAGATTGAAAAGAACTAGATGGAACTAAGTGAAGACTAAGTAAATATGTAAAAAATGCTAATTGGGGATTTAGAATCCCAAATTAATCTGGGAGAATAGAAGGAGGTGGAAGAAGAAACATTTAAACAAATAATAATTGAATTCATAAATACATTAACTAATAGCAGGAAAATATTTACCATTTTGTAAAGAATCCTGCAGCTTCAATACGACTAACGATCCTAGAGAATATCCCAGTGAGTATACTATGTTTTTGCATTATCCAGGATTGTAGCTCTAGCCCAAGTATTTCATCATTGGCAAAAGTTACTTCCGTTTTGTCAGTCAAACTCAATTTTTGGCATTTTCTGAGGGCCTGAAATCAATAAAAATTTATGATATCTCAATTCTTCAATACCAATCCCGATAATATTTACATTTCACTCAAATAATTTTCTTATAGTTTTTACTGCTTTCTGGGTGTATAACCTTACACAATCTGAAAAATGAACGAATATAGACATTTAATTTTTTTCCGTTGATTATTCAGTTTGTAAGAAGCATGTATGACGACAAGTTTCTGACTAATTGGGTTCTTCAGTGGTGTGTATTACGCAGTAACTTCTCGGCTGAACTCTTCAGTTTCCATTTCAAAGTTCAGATCAAAGTTATTCATGACTCATCTAATACTGAATTATTACAGTATGATTTCTCTAACTTTGTACGCTGGTGTGTCATAAAATTACTTTTCTCCAAAACAAAAATCCCATAAATCGCCCATATAAAATCAAGCAATCAGAACTGAAAACAATAATTATCCGTTTAATTTAGACGTCCGAGGGTAAAAACTTCCCACCCAGCTCAAAGTTGATAGGATTGCTTAAAACACCATCATAAATGAAATCTAAAAAATCCTCATCGATGCGATACCTGGAAAAAAATTTCTCGGGGTCGTAAAAATGGATTTTTCGCGATTTTTTTCAAAACCTGGAAATATATTCATTGAAAAGTTTATTTATTTCTGTAAAGTGTCAAATTCGTGTACCATTTTTACACGCAATAACTGGCAGTGATACCTCATCTGCATTTTACAGGAGTGGTAAAACAACAGTTTTTAAAATGTTCGAAGAACAAGATTCAGTTCAATGTGCTGAAGTTTTAGAAAAGAGTAATTCAACTCCACAAAAGTTATAACCAATGAAATTCGCTTTGTTGTCTCTATGTAAGGAGCTTCTAAAAAACTATGCTCTTAGATAAGTTTCGATATGCATGATTCGTTAAAAATTCTCGAAATAAAATACAAGTGCAATTATTTGAATTGAAGGGGTTATATTTTTAGGAGTGCTTACTTTTTGGGAAAAGTCAAGATAATTGCACTCTTTTGGGAAAGAAAGTTTTTGGCTTTCTACTACTCCATCTTGATACAAAAAGGATGTGGGAATCTAACAAAGAAATTTGAAAATAAGTAACTTATTTTCAAATTGATTATTCCCTTCCTTTCTTTGGAAGATTCCCACATCTTCCAAAGAAATTTTTAAATTATTATGTATTGCTGTTGTTTTGCCATTGACAACCGCGTCAACAGAAAGAAGTTTCTCCGCGCTGAAAAGAATTAAGAATTATGTTAGAAATACTACTGGCCAGGCGTGACTTAGTAATATGGCAAAAATATCAATTGAAAAAGGTTTTATAAAATCACTAGATGAAAAAGTTTTTATAGAAGAGGTGATAGATCATTTTGCTGAACAGAAAAATCACAGAATCCCTTTAATTTATAAAAAACTTTAATTTTTTGGACGCACGTTTTTCTTTTGTGGTTAATATTTTTTCACATTTTTTCACAACTCCTTATTTTACGCAGGGTTGATTTTTTAGTTTATTTATAATTTGTTTCAAGTTTATTTAAGAATCTATATTTATTATTTTAATATCTTTATCTTTTCACCAGTAGTAGTAAGCCTTTGTCGGCTTTCAAATAAAAAATGTCGTTTTCTCTCAATCGTTTGATAAGTTTCTTTTGGTTTTTATTGTTGTTTATTGAATGCTTCCGTTTATCTGTTATCTTGTTCTTGGAGATTTGATTCTTGACCTTTTCTCGAACTAGTCCCTTCGAGGAATCGGGCATATATTGAATCGAACTTTCAACACTAGCAACGATATCCTTAAGAACTTTCTCGGAAGGCGGGATGCCAAATTTCAAACCGTTCGTAAACATTCGTAATGGATTCCTACACAATATAATTGATGAAAGAAGTACAATTCCACTTCTATGTAACACCGTCATCGTCACTGCTATACACCCGGTGTTTGGCCGTACGACGTTTGCTTTATCGGCAAATACGGATAACGTTATAAGAAAAACATTTATTTCGTTCATAACTACGACTTTTTGTCACGGAATGGATGAAATCTACCTATGTCATCGATGACAGTACATAAATACCATTCATTCGCTTATTCCATTAAATTCCAGCCATAAGAATCTTGTTTAAATTGAAAAGGTAAGAGAGATTAATTTTTGGGAAAAAAGTTTTCGATACAAAAAATGTGGGAATCTTCCAAAGAAAAGAAGGAAGCAATCAATTTCAAAAATCAACTCTATACAAATATGAGTAGATCATGCAAAGAAGTAACTTTCAGACACAAACTGGAAAAAAGTCCTCTGGATTTTGTGATAGATTCGAGTTTGCGATAAACTAATCCACTATAAACTTTCTTCCAGTGCAGAGTAATACAACGGAAAAGTAGAGATTAGATGAACAGAACAAGAACATTACAATAATTGCTGAAGAAAACATTGAACAGAAACAATTTGAAAATACATGCAAAACACTTAAGCCGATCGTACACTTGTAGATGGTCGGAAAGCAGCCGAATTTGATTTAATGATTTGCGACAGAACCGGTTTGATTCTTCAAATACTAAGTAAGATATGATCAATTACAAATTACGAATTTTTTTCCAAAATAAAATTTATTTGTAGATTTTATATTTGACCTCTGTATTAATATTTTTGTGTCAGTTTTTGTTGATTTTCATTCTAATCAAAGAAATTAAAAATAGGTACCATAATTATTTATTTTGATTCGATGAAATATTTAGCTTAACTTTCAAGTCCCATTTCCGAATCAACTGCCAGTTTTTCTGCACATCGCGGTAGTGATATCTCTCCTCTCACACATTCCAGGCTAGAATGTTATCGTGTGACAGGTGTAGAAATGTCAAAAATTTTCAATGTGAATATTTTTTTGATTTCATTAGTGTCAGTTGTCATATCTAGATGATGTTGGTGTTGTAAGTTTTTGAGTTGTATTTGCCATTTGTAAGTGATTTTCATTATGGTCATTTGGGAACTGTGGTTATCTTTGTGTGGTCCAATGAATAGATTGGGCCACACCCAATGGTTCAAGACTATGTTTACCAATTTCTTGAGTCACATAAACACCCCAAAAAATAACATATTCGAGAACCTAACCTAACCTAACCTTTAGTCCTGAAGTTCTTTATTGCCACCTATTTTAAGTTCAAACTAGGAAATCAGCAATCTGAAGTCATTCAATAATCCTTCATTTGATAATTAACTCACCTTGAAACCTAGAGCGTGTTTTTCACCTACAAGAGCTAGCTTCTCCCACTTTAGCATCGACGACGAGTTGCACATATCGTTAGCGGAAATTCTTTTCTTAACACCAATACATTCGATAGTGTCCCCACAACTTTGCTGTATGTAATAATAATCATCTTCGGAAGACTGCAAATACAAAAAAAAACATTTTGATTTATTTTTAAGATTACATGTTTGTTGTGAATGAGTAGTATTTGATTTGATTTATGTATTAATACCACTTTGTAATGAATATGTGAGTTCTCTTTATGATCTTTTTAAATGACATCTATTTGACAACTTAATAATAAACACTAATGATATCACGGGTGTCCCAAATTTATAAATATATGTAATACACAACAATCTCCCACGCTTATTGAATTATTTTTTTTTTCAACTATGTAATCGTTGAAGCGCGTTGGAAATTCAACAGGACGGCTTGATCTTCTCAACTCTGTTATGTTGGTTGGTGGATGAGTTATTTGATCATCAGATACTTCAATTTGATCTGGTTCAAACACCTCATTTTGAATACTATCGGGTTGATTGGCTTGTTCATATTGCACTGGAATCGTCACCAAATCAGTTATATTAGGGCTGTTTTGATTGATCTTATCTGATCAATATGTCTCTTCAAAATATATCCATCATCGAGTTTCACTTGATAGTGAAGAAGCCCAAATTTCTTGATAATTTCTCCTGTCTTCCATAACTGTTTATTATTTGTGTAATACCTTGTTTGAACTCTTTCTCCCACGCTGAATTGTCGTGCCTTTTTATTTAATGGTGCTGATTTTTCATGATGAACGGGTTTCAAAGCATCCAGGGTTTGAACGTTACGTTCCGCTAATCCATTTGTAGCTGGGTGTCCTGGTGCGATACATTTTTGAAAAATATTTGCTGATTGGAAAAACTTTTTGAAATTTTCACTGGTGAATATAGTTGCATTATCGGAAACCATAACATCGGGAAATCCATTACTAGCAAATATATCTTGGAGTATTTCTATTGAAGATGAAGAAGTTGGAGCTGATGTACACGGAACAATTTCAGCCCATTTGGATTTTGCATCGATAACGACAAGAAAATGATGATTCTGAAACGGTCCTGCATAGTCGATATGTATTCGCTGTCAATTATTTTCTGCTTCTATCCAAGGGTGCAATGGTGCTTTTGAAGGGGTTCGCTGAACAGATGCACATGATGGGCAACTTCTTACCATGCGATCAATGTCTTTTTCAATAGATTTCCAGTAAACGTAACGTCTGGCTAATTGTTTCATTTTAGTCATTCCAATGTGATTATGATGAAGCTCTTTCAAAACTGCTGCTTGTAAAGATGTAGGTATAACAACACGCTGGCCTTTGAATGACACATCACAGTCTACACTGAATTCTGCTTTGCAATTTGAATCCTGTTTGAGATCTTTCAAAAGTGCTGACAGTGTTTCGTCCTTAAATTTTTTCTTTTTCAGCGTTTCATAAGACAGTTCTGATGTAGTTATTTGTGAAATGTTAGAAATACATAAATGATGAACTTCGTTATTGATTATTGAATCTATTTGAAGTTTTGCTGAAGCTGGCGCTCTTGAAAGGCAATCTACATTTGAATTATCTTTTCCTTTCCTGAAGGATAATGTGTAATTGAATCCAGACAAAAATGTAGCGTATCTTTGAAGTCGAGCTGAAGTCATCTTGGGAATCTTTGCGTTCTGATGAAAAATTCTCACAAGCGGTTGATTATCAGTAATGAGTGTGAATGGGCGTGCAAACAAATATTGGTAAAATCGATACACAGAAAAAATGATGGCCAAGGCTTCTCTATCGAGTTGAGAGTAACCTTGTTCTGCAGAAGTCAAAGACCTTGAAGCAAATGCGATAGGTCGTTCATTACCATCCACAACATCTGACAATATTCCAGCAACACCATTAGGACTTGTGTCGCATGCAAGTTGCACTGGTAACGATGGATTGAAAGGCATAAGAACTTGGTCACTGGCAATTTCTTGTTTGAGTTTGATGAAAGCTGCTTCACATTCTTCTGTCCACCTGAATCTGACATTGTTTTTCAGCAGGTGATGAAGAGGAGCAGTTTTACTTGAATTGTTAGGAATAAATCTTGCATAATATGTAACCATGCCTAAGAATCTTCTGAGTTTTTCCAATGACGTCGGCTTCGCCAAAATTATGATTGCAGCAACTTTTTCAGGTGACTTTGATATTGAATTGAATTCTATGACATGTCCTAAAAACTCAATTTGATCTTGAAAAAATTTGCATTTGCGTATATTGAGATGCAAGTCATATTTCTGTAATTGATCAAAACATGCATTGAGATTTGTTGCACATTCTTCTCTACTATTTCCATGAACCACTATGTCATCAAAATAAAATTCGGTCTTAGGTACTTCTCGAAAAATCTGATCCATGATACGGTTGAATTCTGATGGAGCTGTTTTTATTCCAAAAGATAATCAATTAATCCTGTATGTACCTCTGTGCGTAGTAATTGTTTGAATTTCACTCGATTTTTCATCAACCTTGATATGAAGATAGGCTTTGTATAAATCGAGCCTACAGAAGAATCGAGAATCACGTAGACTATTCAAAATGTCTTCGATTTTCCGAATTGGATAATGTGAATTCATAAGTCGCTCGTTGACTCCGACTTTGTAATCGACACCCAAACGTACGCCTCCATCTGCCTTTGGTATTACGATTAATGGTGATCCCTAGTCAGATATCGTTATTTTCGTTATGATTCCTGCATTTCCAAGTGCATCCAACTTTTTTTCAACCAATGTGCTGAGTGCGTAGGGAATTTCACGTTCACGATGGAAACATGGCTGTACACCTTCACGTAACTTGAGAACAACATTGAAACCTGGAACACATCCAATTTTCTCTTAAACATTTGGATATTTGCGCTTAGTTCGTCTACACTCCACAGGTTAAATCTTTCAGAGGGTACTGAAGTGTTTTGTTAACTAAGTTGATTCAAATCTATCTTGAGGCGTCGGATCCAAACTCTACCAAGAATAGCAGCGTACTTATCTGGCACAATATAAACATCTTCTTTTATTTTGATGTTACCATAAGAAACGTTAACTACAATCTTTCCATCGGGTATGAAAACATCTTGAGTATATGAGCGGAATCCGATGGTTGCTGGTTCAAGAGGAATATTCAGATTCAAATTTTGTAATTGTTGAAGTTGTAAAAACGTATAAGCTGATCCCGAATCTACTTCGAATTTGATTGGTTTTACTTCTATCTTGACGTGGGCGTAATAACGATTCATATCAGTGTCAGAACTATTATGATTTTGATGAATATCAACAATATGTTGCACACCATATTGTCGTGCGATTTCATATGAATCGTTGCTTTGAATTTGATTAGTCGATCCAGATTTTGTCTTTTTTGCAACTAATGAAGTAATGCAGACCTTAGAAATGTGACCAGTCCTGTTGCATAAGGTACATTTGAGTGAGGTTTGTTCAGTGTGACAATCTTTTGTGATATGATTGGATTTTCCATACCTAAGACAAATATTCTGCAGTCCTACCGATTCGAGGTTATATTTGCGACTGAGTGGCCTATTGTACCTCGATTTTCTATTTCTTGAAGGGATATATGAACGTGAATGATTTCTGTGCATTTTATGAACATGTTGGTGTGAAGAGTCGCAATTTTGCGAGCATCAATTTTCGAAGATTCGAGCGCAATTGCTCTCGTAAAAATGTCTTTGAAAGTTTTACTATCAGACTGAAGTAATTGTTTACGAATGCTATTATCGTATAAGCCACGAATGAATTGAGCTGCCAGGAAGATATCTGCAACTGATTTCTTGCATTCGCATGTGAATTCACAGTCACTTATATTACTCTTAAGTGTACTTACAAATTCTGGAATTGATTGTTGTTCATTTTGATAGATTGACAAAAAGTGATGTTGAGCAACTAAAACGTTCTTCCAATAACTTTAACAATATATCATATTTATGTCAACTGATCAGGAGTTTTAGAAGCAGCCAAAGCTTTGAGCTCCAATAGAATTTAGTAGCAATTGAGCACAAAAAGGCTTATTTGTATTGATCTGCTTCATTTGAAGGTAATTCTGGAACCTGCTTTTGTAATTTGAAAACGATTCTTTCTTGCTGTCAACATTTTCGAAGTTAGCTAAAAGTGCTGTATTCATCACAATTTCTCCCTTGCTTGATGATTCACGGTTTGTCTGACTCTGTGAACTTTGTAATTGAGAAAAGAGAGTAGATATCATTGCAGTTTGAAATTCCATAAATTCTTTGAACTGTTTGGGCATCCATTCTTGAATGTTTTTTTTTTCGATTATTTTTGATTTTTATAATCTTTCTAATTCACCTCGCCGCCAAAACTGTTGTGAATGAGTAGTATTTGATTTGATTTATGTATTAATACCATTTCAATGAATATGTGAGTTCTCTTTATGATCTTTTTAATTGATATCTATTTGACAACTTGATAATAATTTATACTAATGATATCACGGGTGTCCCAAATATATAAATATATGTAATACACAACAATGTTGATACACTGATTATCAGGATTCATAAAATTCGACAATAAAGTGAATGAATTGACTAACATTTTGGTTAGGTTTTTACCAAGAATAACAGATAATGCTCAGCCACATGAATACATCACCATTAGACAAAAATAATGTCATGTCATGTTACGCTTTCGATGATCCACAGTACATTGAAAAAACATTTAACAAAATTAGAAAATATTCTACAGAGTTTTTTTTAAAACAAATCATGAAATTATAAAACAACAACAAAAATTAATTGGCACTCCGGGGTGACTTCATTGATTCCAGTGGCGCAATTGCTTTTTCAGCTGCAGAAAAACCCGGAAAAACCTGCAGCACCACATCATCTGAAGGGCTTGATCTGCTAATGTCCTCTCTCTCATAAAAGGAACTGTAGGGTGTCTCCAGAGGCTCCAATAAATTCAATACATCGCCAGAACACTTAGTTACACGACGATCGTCAAACTTAAACCAGTCCGTTTCGTTTTTGACTAAGGCGTAATAATGACCAGATTCAACGCCAGAACAACAGTGAACAATGACTGCATGAAGATTAAAATATTGGTCTGC